CACAAAAGGCCTATTGTTGCCGCGGCAGCTGTTTTGTTTTTCCAGCGGTTTGTGAGCCAGACAATGTAACGGCAGCAACTCCTAGACTTGGAGGAGGAGGAAAGACTTCCACTGGGACGGGTCCTCCAGCGTCTGGACGGCCCAGACCCAGAGAGTTGGTTCTGGAGGAAAGTCACACCTGAGATCACACAGTTAACCAACAGTGGTGCAGTAACATCCAGGTTATTCACTGTTGGTTTGTTGATATTCAGGTTCTTCACTGTTTTGTCAGTATTGGGGGTATTCAGGTGGGTGTGTGGTTGAAGTTGTTCTGCAGTGACATCCAGAAGATGTGAGACAGAACACGGGTCCAGACAGCTTCTGTTTCAAAAGACGTTCAGTTGTGTAAAGTCTAAAACACAGCAGTGTGAAAATGGAGACGAGAAATGAGGAAACGTTGGTGTTCTTCCACCAAAGACGTGATGCTCGTGATCTTTCCCAGATTTGTTTCCACAGCAGCCAGAAATCCCAGAACTGGAAGTTCAGGGAATAGCATCTGGGCACCTTCCAACAAACCTCTGTTATCTGAACGTCTTTCAGCTGACGCATCAACAGCTGCTTTATGTCGTCGTGTCTCAGATTCCAGCTGGAAGTCCAGATTAACCCGATCACAGGGTGTATTCTGGGGCTGAACCTTCTCAACTCTAAATCCTGAGGTGTAGTTTAAAGTGGGGGTCAGTAGTTTCCTAAACGTCCTCCCTGGATGACGGGTTCACGTGTCTCCTGGTGTCACATGATTAAGTCCATGACACCCTGAAGATCGAACCTTGGCAGGACTTCATGTTTCTGTAGATCAACAGAAAAAATAATTTTCAAAAGTTTCTGAAAGTGACGGCTGGAAAAAGGACCGAATACTGAGAGTCCCTGAATGTGAGGTGGTACTGATCAATCAATAACTGACTCATTTCCACTAATAAACGAACTGATAAGGCAGAAGCAGGCGGACATGTATGTGAGATGGTATGTTGTGAGGTAGCTGTGGGGCCTGGTGGGGTTCATGTCAGCGTAGCAAAGCATCATGGGAACGCCAGCGTGTTATTTGTGATCATCATGTCACTGGTGCTGGAGTTGTGATTGCTGTGGCTGGTGAGGGGCCTGCAGGTGGTTCCCTCTGTTGCTCAGGTGCTAGAATCTGCTTCACAGGAACGCAGCCGGCTCACAGCTGTTGTTGTGAAACGGGTCCGTCTTCAGGCTGCAGATAGGAAACACACTCAGTCTTTATGTTCAGCTGATTTAGTGACGTCCACTAGAGACACCCGTCAGCTGGGTGAAGGTTTAACACGTCAGACCACCAGAAACGTCTCCATGGTGCTCCTACCTTCTCCTGCTGGGTGAGCTTCAGCTGGAGCTCTGTGATGACGTGTTTAATGAGAATCAGCTCCGCCTGCTGTTTACCTGAACAACCAGTCGTCTGCAGCTCGTGTTTAACAGGCAGGACTGAGATTGCTGCACGTCTTCCTGTGTCTGTGTGAGAACAAAACACTGCAGAGATGATTTAAAACCAGCAGAATCAACCTGACCTGGCCGTAGAGTGCTTTACTGAGTTTATTGTGGAGTAAAGAAGTGAGCAAGCGGCTCTGCAGTCAGATTCATTCTGTCTTTGAGGAAAACTGGTTCTCCAAATCCACGCAGGAACGCAGAGCTGGACTGGGTTCAACTGGGATGATTAATGCATCAGGTACCAAACACAATGCAGCTCTTGTGGTGAGGGGATGTTGTGAGCAGCTTTTTTCTGCTCTGGCTGCCTGGTCGGGGCCTCATTGTTCAGACGGGAGGAATCCCAACGCTTCCTCTGAAAGCCGCTGCAGCTCCACCATGTCGCAGTAAACGCTGCATGTTGTTGTGAAACCTTCGGTCGCTGCACTTTGCTTTGTTTGCAGTGAAACTGAAGCAGCTGCAGGGTGAAGCTGCTGCTGCTGCTGCTGCTGCTGGGTTGAGCTGCCGGCGGCTCCGGGCCCGGCCTTTGTTTGGCCTGAATGGTGTCGTGCAGAAGCCCAGCAGCTCCGTTTGTGGGTCGCTCTTCATGACGGCATGCAGGCGGAGGACGAGACGATGGGCTGCACTTTGAACTGAAGGTTTCTGTGTTTGGTCAGGACAGTCCCTCAGAGGTCCCACGCTCAGCCTCCTGATGAGTGAAGGAGACGTTATGATCGTTTTATTGGTAATCAGTCACATGATTGATTTCATGATATATTGATTGACTGCTTAAACACCAGAAAAACACCTCCATTCGACTCCGACGTCTTGTTTTAGTCCGAATCAGAACTTTACAGAAGTTTGCCGACAGATTGTTCAGCTGTGACTCTGGAGTTAATGGTGAACATGTCGTCTGTTGGTAGGAAACCACAGTGAACAGCCGTTAACCTGGTCCACCGGTGGATCACGTGTGTGGATCAGGTCTAGTCGAGAACACTGTTTCCCTGTATTTACGGCGTTCACTCAGTAGTGGAGTGCTGAAGCTGCAGCGCTGTGAGGATGGTCAGCAGCTTCTACAGGAAGCTTCCATGGTGGTTCTACCAGTTTTTGACATTTGATGGACGAAACAAACAGTCAGAATATTTGTTTTGTTGTTTTAATCATCTTTTTGTCTTGCTGTGAGGACTTTCAGGTCTGATGGGGACGTCTGGATGGAGTTTTTCTCTTTTTGAGTTCTGATGAACTAAACAAAGAACTGATTCACGTTTCAACCACTTTTAAAACTTTAAACATTTACAGGCTGTTGCTTGTTAAATGTGATCATTTATGGATGTCTGATGGAGGAAGAAGCAGCGTTGAAATCCAGATTTGTGATGCCTGATGGACTAAATAAACTTTTACTGTTTAGTTTTTGTCTGATGAGGCGGAATCGGCCTTTAAACGAAGCTGTGATGATGTTTTTCACTGCTTTGGGATATTTGACTCAAAGAATCGATCATTTCAGTCACTTTGAGGCTTTCACACATGTTCAGGTTGTTGAGTCGTATCTGTGAGGATTTGATGCATTTCTTGGTCGTATGATAGATTAATAAAGTAAAAAACACTGAAATGAACTTTATGAATATGTGTGAAGAGGTTTGGTTGTGTTCTAAAGAGTCGCTGAAGCTTCGTCTGACTCATTGTTGACCTGGTCTGGTTGG